CAAATTTCGTCGATTGACAGAACAGATTTTCGTTTGCGCATGTGCAGTGTTCAAAAACGTCACTAATCCATCGATTTTCGTTCATCGCAAAAAATGTTTTCAAGCCTGCCCGATAGACAAAATTAGGCCAGCTGTACAGTAATTGTGCACTTCCCATCAACTGGCCGATTATCGGACGAAACCGTGATCGCAGACGAAAATCAAACGATAATTGTAAGGTCTATGGGCACCTTAAGAGTAAAAGGTGGCCATACACTTGCCGATTATTGTACGATAATCGCGGGAAATCCCGCGATCGTATGATAATCAGATGTATGGAAGGCGTGCAACCGTTTCTACTCAGCCTCCCCCTAGCGCAGCACTGAGTTCTTGCTCCAGTCATTTAAAATAAGCAAACCGTCGCCGAGTGTCAGCTTGAGGTGGGGTGTGCCGCGAGGGAGCCCCATCCATTCATGCACTGCTTACAGCTCCCACATATGCCCAGTAGAGTTGCCTGGACTGGACTGACATCACATTCTGGCTCATGGCACCTCTACAGGGTGTGCAAGGGAGCTGTACAAACAATGCACATATGGATGGAGCTCGGTCACAGCACAACAGCCCACAATGTACCGCAGGCTGAGGATCCACTCCAGTTCTCGTAAGGTAGGGAGACTGGGTGGATCTTACAAAAAATATATAAAAACATTTTTTGGGTGCGTATGTGTGGTTCAGAATGTCTGTGAGTGTGTGAGATTGAATCTGGTTGTGTGTGTCTGTCAGTGTTTTTGAGGGCTCGTTCACACTAGTACAGTGCGTTATTCGAAAAGTCCCCTGCAATTATAGCACTGTACCATGCAATCACATTTACTGTGCGTTCTGGTGTGGGAGGTGCATTGGGTTACCATTCATTTGAAAGGCTCCCCAAACGCACAGTCCAATCGCCCGCACTAGAATGCGCGGTACCACAATGCCGTGTGTTCCATTGCAGTGCGACTTGAGTTGCAACTTAATGACCAAGGACAAATGTGGGTCCTGAGGTTACACAGGTTGAGAACCAGTGCTCTAGGGTATATCCAAGAGGGCCCCCATAATGAAGAGGCATCTCATTGGGAGGGCGACATCATGAGCGACTAACAGCGCCCCCCTCAGCGGCTCACAGATCAGCCGCCCACCACCTCCCCTTCTCCTCCTGGCTGCCAAAGGCAGCAAATAAGGTAGGGGACAGCGCTGCATACATACAGTTAAAATACCTTTAATCTGTTACTGTTCCATTCATCTTAGACCTGCTCCTATTGTCTCCAATATTAGTGTATTCATACTATATAAAAAATACTTCTAATTCAGAAAATATATAATGTTGGGGGGTTTTACGTAATTTTCAGGCCTAAAATGTGGAATATAACATGGGTGCAAAAATGGAAAAAAGGGCCTCAGTCATGAAGGGGTTAAAAAAATGCATCCTGCATTTACTGCACAGTGAGAATCCCTCTGTCAGATTAAGACTCAACTCTAAGAAATGGCATGACAAAAGGGATCCATAGAGATAACAGCTGCAGGGCTCCTGGTCCCTTGGGGCCCACTCTAAAACCACTTAAAGAATATTGGTTTCTTTAGATTACCAGCAGAATATAATCACAGACGCACCAAAGTACCAGGTTTTAAAATGTGTCCTTCTAATCCTCAGTATATCTCCATCAGAGACCCCTAATGAAGTCACGTATTTTGACGTAACGTACGTAGGCCAGAGCTTCTGATGTCACTGCACTGAGCTGGACAAACAGGTTTTTTTTATCGCTTTGCTGCCATTTGCCCTGCTGGTCTGATCCAGCAATACCCAATGCCTGTACTGTTTACACCATTGCGAGTACGCATTTTTTATTAAATTGCATTTTATTGGACGTTACGCACTATGCCCTTGTCCTTTTTCTCTTTCCACCTGGATTTATACTGGTACCTGTGATCTGAGGAGACCTTATCGCCTTTTCTGTGCGTGGGCTTCCCTCTCCCATTAAGAAGGGAAAAAGCGCATTTGACCTAGCTCTGTGGGTCTACCTCCCCGGTGAGCACTCACTTGTTGTCATCACTCACTGGGTGGAGGTGAAGGTCTGCCTGCATTGTGTGATTATCCTTACCTGAGAGTTATATGCAGATTGGCTGCGAATCATCTGAGGAATTTTTTTTGCACAATCACCATTGTTTGCTTTTGTTTTTTCCTTAAGACTTTTTATTGTCTATATTGCTTTTTTGTCTTTGTGTAGATATTTTCTACGCCTCATTTGTTTGAAGGCTCATATATGTGACTCACTTATATATGTTTCAATTTATATTATATATATGATTATTAGCTCGGCACAATATTGTTTTTAACAGATATGTATGAAGGCTTGTACCCCACTGCATACATATGTGTCCTCCTGTATAAAAGCCATGGGCTGATGATCTGGTGCCATACTGATCAGCATGTTTGAAATGCATATTAATTTTGTAATTGTGCCAATATCACTGTAATGAAAAGCCTCTTCCTATTCTAGTGTGACATCACACCAAGTGCAGAATACTTATTTGCCAAAGCATACAAAGTCGAGTGAGGGGTTAGTATAAGAACTGGCATTTCTACCAAGGGAAGGCAGGGATTTTAATTACATACTTTCACAGTTCTGTTTTGCTAGGGAGAAACATTTCCAATTCCGAGACACCGTTGTGGGTTTGAGTAGTAATATTTTTACTTTCTACAGAAAATACAGGCTTGCCTAGCAAATCCCCAGGAAAAAATACAGACCTACAACTGAAGTAATATTGTAAGAGAACTTTATTTGATAACAGAATTTAATATACTTCATCTGTAAAACATCTAGTTATAGACAATATACACAATATAACATCAAAAATATGCCAGTTAGGTATTAAATCTCACTTGATATTTTACTTTAAGACCATTACAAAATGGCATACACATTTATTATCTCATAGCCAAGATGGCACAGAGCCTGGTAAAATATGAAATATCAGCTGTGCAAAACAACATTCTCATTTACAAGTACACAGACAACACTCGAAGCATCTTGGAATGTAGCTGAAGACAAAATGTTTTATTTGGCACAGCGGAAACTGAAAACACTCATACCCTTTGGATGACTGCTATGAAAAGGCAATCATCGATTATATTCAGTAAATCTGCAGACAACTTGCTATATTTAGCAGGACTAACATTTTCACAAGACCTGGACTTTTGCGTTACACATCACCTTGATTAGGGAAGCATCAAATAATTGGGAACGATGACTGAAAACAAGTGTACAACATTTACAGAGATGGAGATTAGTACACAGTGTGGGGGTTCAGCTTGTAATTAGCTATACAGAACCTCAGCAGAAAAGACAAACCTGTGCTCTGGATATGATTGTGTGAACTGCAATAGTGGGGGATAACGTGCAATCACCAATCAACTTTCATCAGACTGAGTACAGGAAGTCTCCGACAGCTGAAATCAGTTATTACACACCAGCAAATGCATCTTCTAGTTGTCACACATTAACCTATGAACACCACACACAATGTGTAGGAAAGATCATACAATGCATGCCATTTTTTAAAGTGATACTTCCCTTTCGAATTCTGGATCAGTCTTTTCATTGCATTTCCCATCTGAAATTGCCACCAATTAATCTGATACAGGACTTTCCTGAACATTTGTCAGCGGTGAGTACTGGAGCAAGTTAAGCTGGCCATACACTATATGAATTCTGGCCGGTTCTTGATGAACCAGCCGAAATTTGCACAGTGGGTGCCGCTGTCAGCACCCTTTTGGCCGGCGTCCCTTGATCACAGGAGCTGGTTGGAAATTCTGAACAAACAGAGCAGGCAGCCAATCAACTGCTGGCTCTGTTCAGGTATTTTGACAGTGGCTGCCATCAGAATACAATGAAGACAGTGGGAGATCCCTTGATCAACGATCCTAAGCGCTGATGGAGGAATCTGTTATGTTTTTTATATAGAAAATATTAGTGTATGGGCAGCTTTACTTAGGGCTATAGTAACTAGTGCATTCTATTGGTCATTGTACTGTGATATGCCTTTGATCTTTAGATATACTTTAGAGTGGCTACCCTTGTAAAAAAAAAACAGCATCTGCAAAGACCTTTCATTGGATGCATTGTTATGTTCTGGCATAGCATACCCAATTCCACTAATGCACTCATTTACTTTATCTTTACATACTTGACTCCAAGCTCAACAGTAAATCCTAAACTATACAAAATTAACAAACTAGCAGATTAGCATTTTTCTATAAAATGTCCAATTTGGCAGCATATACGTATAGCAGATGTAAATAGCCCACTCCTCTCTGTCTAAAGGTGCCCATACACTGCACGATTATCGTACGATAATCGTATGCGATCGGGTTTTCGTACGATAATCGAGCAGTGTGAACGGAGACGTGCGACCGTTTCTACTGTACGGTCGCACGTCTTCTGTCGAACCAGCATGTTCGAAAACCAGCCGGGAATCGTACGATTCTCAGCTGGTTAGAACGGTGCTCGGAAGATAAATGCTGAACGGGCCGGTGTGCGCACGCGCACACTGCCCGTTCAGCATTGCGGTCATCGGAAGCCCGCCCCTCAGGGGGGCGGGCTTGCAATGATCGAGAGTGCGATCTGCCTGTCCAAGATAGGCAGATCGTACGTTTTTTTAATCCCTTTACAACCATCGCAAGACTAAAGTCTTGCGATGGTTGAAGAGTGTATGGCCACCTTAAGGAAGAAGTTCAGGTCTTTGCATTCCCTGCCATACAGGAGCTGGTAGAGCCTGTGACCCCATTAACAGCTTCCCGCAGCCCACTCTACTCTATGGACATTGAAGAATGTTGCTTCTCTTTTATTTCTATTAACGTTTTATTTGGATCTGCAAGAAAACTAGTGTCATGTAAATCAATTTACTGCTATAGTCAATCAGGTTAAAAAAAAAATGTATTTATGGGTTGTAACTTGTACACAGAATTAGCCAGGATTATTAATTGTGTGCACTGTGCAGTACAGCAGTAGGGATTTTCCTAGTTCTCATCTGGCTACCTTAACTGTTGACCAAAATTGTATCCGCTAAGGCCAAAAATGTATACAAGGATTATCTAGCTTTAAACAAATGCTTGAAAGCCTTTTAATAGCTATGGCTTACTTTAAAAACATAAAAGGTATTAGTGAAGTGAACAATTAACTCATTTCGTGTGGTTTCCATAATGGACTTGCTGAAAACTGAACCCTCATTATAAAGAAGCTTTTTTTTTACTTGTCTACATCTCTGTTCTATCTTTTAACATTATACAGAACTTGAATTGATAATTCTACACATAAATAAAATCTGCAGCTTTAAAAATTGTACAAAAGGCAAGTTCAAGATCTTTATATAAACCACATTACAAAATATAGTTTATAAAAATTCAAGTACATTCACTTAAAGTCCAATTATTTTGTTTGTATGTATGAATGCATGCAGTAAGGTTTACAATTTAGTAACACATACAGCCAAGATAAGCATCTCCATGAATATTTGAATCAATCAAGGTAAAAAATAGGAACAGAAGAAGCCCCCAACCAATTTAACACCAAAAGAAGAGTGGGAAATGACAGTTATTGTGATTTATTCCACAAGTGGTGTACTTCCAACCCAGCTTTTTAATTGAGCTCTTGTAGCATGTCTCACCAGGACCAATGTGGAACTGTCTCTATCCAAAAGGGTCCCATAAAGCACATACAAAGTCATCGCTTAGCACCAGCCCTGAAGAATTTTTGCTGGTTTTTACTCTGCCCTAAATTCCTGTTGAAACATAAGAAATCGTATATATAATTTATGCATTAACAGCCATGCACAGTTTTAAAAAGGGCTGATGTAAGTCAAAATTACAGGAAGAATAGGAATGCTGTCTTATAAAAGATGCCACATTTATTATAAAACAAAGCTGGGGGCAACAGTGCTTCAGAACATCTACATTAAGGAATACAATTGTCGTGTGCTTGCAAATAAAGCTGGATTGCACCTTGCAGGAACTATGGGAATATAACCCTTAATGTGTATGTTTAGCCAAAACGTTTTCGTTTTTAGATTTGTATAGGCTGAGGAAGTATTAGATCTTTTACTGCTATCAGGGGATCCATTAACGATATTTCCCCTTAGTTAATGTCCCTGTAACACAGTTTCATCAAACAAGGGGAGGGGAAACCTGCAACAGCAACATAAACAGATTTTTATTTATTTCTTTTTTGTGGATGAGGGGAAGCCTATGACCACCCCACAACTTCATTTTTTGTATGGTGAAACAGTCGTCACGCTGACAATGAGTGAGGGGATCTCTCTCTAACAGAACCCCAGATAGCAGAAATAACACAATAGAGGTTCTAATCCTTCCCCACTCTTACCAAAACGAAAAAAAAAAGGTCTACGCTGGACATACACTATGTTCTGAAGTGATGACATAAACAGAACATATTGCCTGCAAAATATAAACTTGAATGTATATTAGAAATCATGACCTCAGAACAGCAACAGTGTTCAAAGAACAGGGCTAGGGGAAAGGGGTGGTCTCAGCAGCCGCATTTGCCTTTTTCTTGGTCCTCAGTTAACTGCTCAGTAGAGCTGTGGCCATTGGACCGTACCACCCCTTGGGGTATCCAAGACTTGTCCACACACCGTTCCATGCGTTTCATGATCAGATCCAGTAATGTCTCCACCGCCTTATTGACATTGGTTCCATCTGCAGCACTGGTCTCAAAGTAAGGGATTCTGAAAGCACACAAACAGGAAAGTTTTACAGTGACTGAGCTGAAGGGACACATCCATGTCCTTGAAAAGAGTTTTTAAAATCAGGAGGAGGCATTTGCTCAAAGCCAAAGAGCATTAACTGAAGACTGCTTTGCCAACAAACTATTACAAGAAATCCGGAGGCTGCCATTACGTCTACTTCTGAAGATGCCTGCATACTATGCTGACCCAGTGTCTTCAGTTCTTTCTGGGTCACTGACCTGAACAAATATGCAGAATAAAAAGGGGTCTGACTTGGGTTAGCTTCATTTGCTTGCTGCATGCTTATCCCATGTGTGTGACTCAAATTGTGCTGAAGTCAGAGGTTTAGCAGTACTGCCATGCGCCTAGTATTTTCAGAAACTCAGCTTAAAGGGTTCTCATAGCACAGATTACCTTTAATGTGGTGCTCTTCTTTTTAATTAGACTGAAGATTATTTTAATGTGAATCTGAGTTTTTGTCCATGCACCTCAAAGCAACAGGTTCTCTTTTAAACACCTACACAGATGCATGTACTTACCCTTAATCCGCTCCCCATGCCACTTGCTGCTTGGGCAGAGCACAAGTTTGCATTAAATTGGAGTCTTAAACCTAACAACTAAAAAACATGATAAAAAGCTCCCTAGCTTATATTTCTGTGCAGTGAGATCCCTGCGACCTGTACCCAGGCCTGTCCACCTACTATAATTAGAAGAAAGTCTTGCTAGCTTTACTTCTGTGGTAGCACAGAAGCATTTTTTTTGTTGAGAATTTTGCAGCGATATTGACTGCCTAAGAAGTTGATGAAAAATGTCTACTGTAGCTCTACTGAGTGTATATTGATGTATTGTTTGGTATTCCAGTTGTACTGGAGCTGATCAGAGGAGTCTGCATCGGGTAGTAAGGACAGCTGAATGGATTGTGGGCTCCTCACTGCCTGATTAAAAGGATGATGTTTATTCAAACCGAATGGTAAAACAGGCTGTAAAAATTCAAAACGATTGCACGCATCCTGGGAATCATTTGTTTACAATGTAGATTGTGAACAATAGTGACATCAACAAATAGGATAGGTAAAACATTTTTCCCAGAAGCAGTAAAATAGTTTGCTTGACTTGGAAAGGATGGAATGAATGGGATTGCGAGTTTGCGTGTGATTTTAATCTAGCCAGGGGGAGAATATGTATTTATATTATTTTAAATCCATCTTGAGTTGCTGGCTATTTGTATGATTGTTCTATGTATTTTTTAAGGTTGTGTTTTAGTATACCTATGTAAATGGATTTTTATGCTAAGGGCTTGTTCACACCAAATCCGGGCCAGATCTGCATGAGTTTCTGCATATGCAGAGCAGTACATTTTGCCGTGTTTTTGCTGCATTCCGGGCCATTTTTTTTTTTTTAGCCTAAAATGGGCATTGTGCGTGCATTTCTCGTGCATTTGCATGTGGTTTGGTGCGTTCCAGAGCAGAAAAAAAATAGGGCATGCTGCAGTTTTTTTTACATGCTCTGCTCGCTTGAGTGGGGCAACTCAGAATAATAACGTGCTGGATTAGTGTGATCCTAGTTCATTTTATTACTTCATTGCTGTGCTGTATGTGTATAGGCCAATGCCTTGGCTGGCGCAGAAAGTTTAAAAAAAAATTTAATCGAGAAATTAATCGTTAATTTGCACAGCCCTAGTTGTAAGGTGTGTGCCCAGCATCAGAGTGGTTTAAGCTAAACTGTATTTCGCTGTGTCTCGCGTGCAATGGCAAATAAAGTGTCTTAGCTTTATTCAGTTTACATTTTATAGTTCAGAGAATGGAACGGAGTTAAACTTCACTTGCAGTAGGAATTGCAATATGGTTCCATGGTGGATAGAGCAGGAGGATCTTATAATTGAAGCCCTGAAATGTTAACATTCAGGTGGTAATTAGGCTAATCAAGTTTTACATATAATCTTAATACCGAGTAAACCAATTCTTTAAAAGATGTAGGCGAGTGAAAATAAAGAAATCCATTTATTGATGTTTAAAATTTGTGTAGTAGCAATTGTTTATTCAAGCAACTTGTTTCTTGCACATTTTGAAAAGTCACTTTTACAAAAGTATTTTTATCCACTGTCCACAAGATGGTGCTAAATATGACATGAAACACGATCCTATAAAAGCAGTTCAAGGATAAGTATATTTTTGGTTTACACATTATAGAACAGCATATTGACAAAAAAACAAACCCCTCGAGTTAAAACAGAGTAGAATGAGACTATTAGTGTATATGCAGTATATAATTATTTTAATATGGTGTATCAGAGCGATGATCAGTGTGTGAAAAAAATTGTCAGATACTCATTGTATCCTCTTGTTCACTAATGTCAAACATACACATGCAATGGTGGCGTTTAGTTTCAGGTCCTGTGAAGAGCTAAAACTCAAATAAAATCATAACGAATCATTCATAGATGGTGTCATGTTTATAGCATCCTGTGGTCTAGTTAAATGAGTCAGAGGGTACAGCTGAGCTGTCCATCAGCTGTAACAATACAAGGAAGGAACTGCTCACCCATATTTCTCTGCAAACTCTTTTGCCTCCTCTTCCTTTACAGCTCTCTGATCCTCCACATCACACTTATTTCCACACATCACAATGTCTGGGTTCTCACAATATGCGTGGATCTGCAGCTGACCTAAAAAGAAACATAAGGAAGGTGTTATTTCACGGTTTACAAACAGAGCAATAGAATCATCCAGATAAATTGTAAGTTGGATTTTAATATACTCAGGGCTAAAGCAGCTTTAAAAGGTTCATTACACTCTTAAAGCTGAACTCTGGGCAAAACATTTTTTGAGCAAAAGCAGCATCCAGCAATCCATCTAGAAATGTGCCCAGCACACTCCTTCTGTAAACCAGCTTTCTGTTTAAATGAATGTCACTACAGCTTGGTCTCCCTGTGCAATGTGACCAGTGAGGTGTCTGCCCTGCTGTCTACAGCCTTTCCTCGCCCATACACCCCCTGCATTCGCCAGCCTTTCCCTGCCCATACAGTCCTTGCTGTCTCTACCCTTTCCCCGCCCATACACTCCCTGCCTTCTCCAGCCTTTCCCTGCCCATACAGTCCTTGCTGTCTCTACCCTTTCCCCACCCATACACTCCCTGCATTCTCCAGCCTTTCCCTGCCCATACACGCCTCTCTGTCTACAGCCTTTCTTTGCCCATACAAGCCCCTCTGTCTCCACGCTTTCCCCACCCATACACTCCCTACTCTCTCCAGCTTTTCCCTGCCCATACACACCTCCATAATAAGACTGACAGGAGATTCAAATTAATCTTCACAAGCTGTGCTCCTCCGGACCTTTTAGACCGTGTTATTCTCTGAACTGTAGGTAGGTATTGTACAGAAAAAAATTGTTTACAATGGCAAAAGAAAAAAATAAATCAATATTTCAAGTATTGTGGGAAAATTGTTTCTCCCTGCCAA